GACCCAGAAGCTGAGTTACAAAATCTGTTACTGGTTATTTAGAATTATACAGCCCAAATTATAAAACATTAAAATTATGATCGTTAAAATTAATATTACTTTCGTGGACATTTTACAAGGTGTAAAGGTCCGATCTTTTTTTTGACAATCACCGCTTTGATTAATTTCATTATGATTCGTGATTTGTAATGTTTCAATATATCATAAAGTAGATTATATCTAAATTATGTATTTCCAATGCGCCCTGAAATAATAGAAGGAAATTAAAAATTTCACGGAAAAGCGATATTTGGAACACGAGGGATTAGAACATCATATAAAACCAAACGAATTCAGTCAATTGCGTATCTTTAATTTTCAATGGAGTATACAATTGTTTATTGGAAATTGAAAACTGAATTTAAACCGATTTTCTCCCCGTGCTATTAATTCGCTGTTACAAAACGAATATGAAGCATCTGATATTATATTTTTTACTATTTTTTATTGCAAAGAATATTCATCTAACCCGAAAAGAGAATGTTCTTCGTTTTTGACTCGTCGAGGGTATATCGTTTACGTATAGTAGGAAAAACATAAAAATCAAATCCTGTGGGACCCCATGTGCAATTGGCAATGAATTGGAAAGGTGAGAAAGTAATGTCCTATTATTCCTCTGCGGTATTTGGACTCTCTGAGATTGTTATTGAAGTGACGAACAAAACCAATATACAGCAATACCACGAATTCCATAGGAAGGTAATCTTAAAAAGTAGCACGCACACTACGCGAGAATAAAAATAAAATATTCTCCTATTCCACTATAATCTATTAATAATTGTAACAAAAACTATTTTCACTGATATTGCGATAAATATTATATTACTTACGGATACATAGTGCAACAGTTCTTTACATACCAATAACAAAAAAAAGGTGTGATCCATAACGCAACACGTGATTAGCAAATATTTAATGGGGCGCGGTTTTCTTCTTGGACCACTGCTGTCACATTACGCCATATGCGTCGGTAAGCAGTGACTCACTGAAGATGAGAATACAGTTTGTACTCGCATTTTGAGAATAGGTGGAATAACTATCAATCATTTTCTTATTTCAGTTAAAATCGAAATGTTTTTCAGTGTTACTAGCTATATATCGAAACAATAGACACCTCTCAATGCCTGAACGATGAATAGATTGTTTTTGTTTTAAATTCAGCGCCCATTGGAAATTAGTAATACTGATATATTTGGATTTTCCCCGAATTCCTGGATATCGAACTAAACCGTAGACGCCTGTCAAAAGACCAGAGACTCCATAGTTTCTTTCAATTTATGCGCATATAGGAAATTCTTAATTTATGTTTTTGTATTTTCCAGAGTTCCTGGGTACCTGAAGAAAACAAGGACATCTGTCTCATGGTCGGAGGCTAAATAATTTTATTTGAATTTTTGGGCCCATTGGAATTAAGTAACAGACCACTGGCCTGCAGCAACCAAACAGGTCTCGAACAAAACCACAAAAAATGGTTTTTCAAAAATTAGGAAACGTTCTGCTCAAGAACAACGGAGAAAATGCTCTCGTATAACACCGCAAATACTACTTCTACGAAAACAGGCATTATGAATATTCAAATAACAGTATAGTAGAGAAATGTGAAAGAAATTTAAAACTCCTAAATATTCCTCATTCACCAATACCATATTTGACACTTACGTCAATTAGAGCACACAATTTATTTGTACATTTAAAATAAAAACAGATCCAGCAAAATTGATAATGGTTCACGTATTTCGTGATAGAAGGTTAGAAAAAGTTGCAGTTCATGACCTAGCAAAATATAAATGCGTGTCTTCATACTTTAATAAGAATAGCACCCTCACACTCATTTATTTTCTAAAACGTCCAATACATATAATTACAAACCCATTAGAATTGGTGTAATTTATAAAATCGAAAGCATTGGTCTATAATAAAAAAACACTAGTGAAGAGAAAATTAATCAATTTATAGACACGTAACGAAAAACAATTAAAAGTGTTTTCTGCTGCTTACATCAGAATTTTCAGCCAGTGTCAAGGAAAAGAGGTTTTAGAAGTTTCATTTTTGATTTCAAGGGTTATTACCATGCTCACACATGAAATCAAATTGTTCTGAATATCTGGCGAGGTTACAAAACACAGGAGATTTTTTCACATGGTCCTTGAAAGATTTAATCATTTTTTTACTATTTTATTTTTATATTCTATGAAATTTCCTCTGATGAAACCCTGCTTTCATCATGGCCAGCAAATGTCAGCCCGTATCTCCCGATATTGCATACAACTCAAACGAAGTGTGACAGAATTTCCATATTTCTCCTTACAACATTCTTGTGTTCAACAAACTTTGTACTGGCCACTTAACAAAATTATATCCTCTCAGATTTTCAAACAAAATTATACTGTTTCTCACATGCTATGTGAGTGTCACTTACTATGTGTCGTGATAGTCTTGTAAATATTATTTAAATCTGCCTAATCATTGAAATTCTACTTTCTTTCATTT